CGTTCCATCACCTTCCTTCCCATCGTGACAACTGAATATAACTGAAAGCCCAAGTTCGAAGTTCGAAGTGTGAAGCCCTTCAAACAAAGGAAACCTTTTGGTTTTAGAGGAGGGGGGCAACAGCCACGTTGCCCAACGAAGCTACGGAAGACGGGTGGAAGCATTCAGGGACGCCGGAATGTGTACCTGCCTTTGGAAACCCACTACCTACAGATTGGAGGCAGAGTTCGACGGCGGTTCCCTTTCCTTTTCCTTACACTAATAGAACTGGAGGCTTTATGTTTTTTTGTGTATAATTTACCTAGAGTGATTCATCTGTCCCGCTCACTATGTGCAACTATCTCCACTTCTACCTGCTGCATCGGTTGCTTGTCAACCCAAGATCAGACATGTGCACTTGCATGTGTCTGTGTGTCAAGTTTTGTTTGTTTTCTATTTGCAGTTAACTTGCTGTTCCGTTGGCCCCCACCTAGGTGCGATGGCCTCCAACCTAAAGGCTTTGACTACCAACCTTTCTCTTGAACCTGGTTGTGATCTGGCTTCAACCGCTGTCTACTGCTTGCTACTAACCTACTAGCGATGGCCACCACCCTGTTGCGAGGGCCTTTCGCCTAGATGCAACGGTCTCCAACCTAGATGCGGTGGCCTCTGACCTACTCTAACCTACCCACCCTGACTTCTTAAGAGTTCATACCTAGGCCGCCATGGGGCGAGAGGCTTTCTCCTTTTCGTTTGCGTTTCCCAAGTGTGTGTGCTCTCACATATGTGCTCTCCCGCATGGGCTCTTACATGTGGGCCGGGAAGGGAGGGAGTGACAAAGGCCGGTGACCAGCCCAAAAAGAAGAATCGTGTCATCATGGTGCCAGCCCATGCAGCCCCGCCTCGCCCGCTTTTGTTTGCAGAACTAATGGGCGAAGGCGCGTTTTCCCCGCTGGCTTCTACACCTCTCACTGTCGGCTTCGAATCGGCCGTCGCCATCCTTTCCATCTGTTTTTTTCGCGCGGAATTGAATAATGGCAGGTTTTCTTTGGTTGGCCCCCACTCCTCTCATGGGTTTCGAAACTGCCACCCGCCACCCTTTCCAGCGAGAAACATGTGCCGGTTCCCCTATGGTCCTATGGTATTTAATGCCCGCCCAGCTGCACGTTTCTTAATTTGGGTGATGATTTTGGGACTTTTACTTTGACTTGAAGTGGAACTTTCACATCAAACCCATTCAAATCCTGTAGGCGAGCCTGACCATGTCGCGCTTCATTTTCAGTTCCTTGGGTTCGAAAACTGATGTGCAGTTGTTCCGTGTGTTGGGTGAGAAACTACCTTCTTTCTGTGCCCTTGTGTTGGTGCCGGAATTTGACCTAGGCGACAATGCAGTCCAGCTTATCGAGGATCTTCAAGTGAAGCAACCCTACATTTGGATATACTGCTTCTTATTTATGGCCATTGCAGCCTATGTAATCTTGAACTTGGTGACCGCGGTTATTTGTGCCCTGGATTAAGGGTCCTTGTGCCAAGCATGGCGTCAGCAAAATGCGATTGCCGCAGATCACGACGTTTGATGAGAGTGCCTGGCTTCCCCATTTACACTCATATTGTATTTGCGGAGCTGCAGGCGATAAAGCCCAAATGATTGTAAATGAGAACGAGGCTGAGAAGCTCTTTGAAATGCGCATGGAAGAGAAGAAAAACATGAAAGACTTGAAGACGCTTGCTTGCAATCCGCCCAATGCAATGTCAAAACTTGTGTGCTCCAGCATTTTGGAGCCAAGGAGGATTTTCCAAGTTCTCGACGAAGATGGAAGTGGCCAAGTAACCACTGAGGAGTTTGATGCCGCTTTTGAGATTCCAGAGTGCAGGCGATGTGTCCAGATACCATTGGTCGTGTTCTTTCCCATGACATGAGCTATTTGCAGTGGGTTGGGCCATTCCCAAGGAAGTTCCAACAAACCGCACAATTGGCTGCCCAAATCGACAATGATCGGCCACTGCATTTCATGTAGAGTGTTTACAAACAAAAATTGGATCAACCCTGGCACCCTGGTCAAAATGAAGTAGTTTTAAATCTCATTTTGTGTGACTGACTTGGTTCTTGCATAGCCCCACATGGAATTGCATCAAAAAGAAGCGTAGCAAATAGCAGGGCAGTAGCGAGTTGCACTGTTTTTGTACTCAGTCTATTGATGCTGCACCAAAGCAGGCAGATAGTTCATCCCCATTTAGACAAACTTGGCGCAAACCAAGACACTGTGCCAACTGCGTATGGAAAGGAAACCCACAGATGAATCTAGGGGCATTCGCGGGGTGATATTTGTGTGTGATGGCTCGTGGTTGGACGCCTTCAGGGATAAGTTCTTCTTGCTGGGCTTTGAGGAGGAGGCCAGAGGAAACGGAGAAGCACAGTGGCCAGGTTGTCAGCCCTTGTACTGCAATAGGTCCCCACTGCTGGTCCCCACTGCTAGTCATCTATCGTGGAAGTGACGGCCTTTGTGATCCTTTTTGTGTGTTTGTGAAAGCTCCGTAGTTTCTGAACAATTGCATTCCCGTTTTCTTCCACTGGTTTGTAGTATATAATCTGCCTTCCATGATCAGATGTAGCACCAGTTACATGTACATGATATAGCTTGTATAGATGTATGTTTCACTGAAGCCGTTTGTTCAAGTTTGGGTTTACTTTTGTGTTCATTTCGATACCAGAGCTCACGCTTGGAGTGGAGCTAAAAGTGGGCCTAAGCTTCTACTACAACCTTTGGGACAGTGACTTGGGGTCACAGAGTTTAAGAGCCTAAATTCTCCGTTCATGGTAGCGGAGCCGCGGTTCTAAGACCCGGCTACCGTCTGCGAATCGAAGGTCGCCGAGCCGCATCGGCTCTGGCACCGGAGATTCACAAAACAAGCATCACTTGCAGGAAAGCCGGATTGCTTCAATCCCTGGCTAGCAAGTCAACATGGCGCAACAGCCAGGAGCACAGGCACCACAAGCCACAGACATGGCACAACAATTTGCACAGATGATGCAAGCCCTAGCACAGGGGCAGAGCCAATTGCAACGAGCAATGGCAGAAGCATATACACAACAAACGGCAATCACAAGGAACATAGCCACTAGCGTAGAAGTAAGAGACAGATCCGAGTTGAAAGGCATTCCAAAGCCTGACAAGTTCAGTGGACACACAGGTACCTGGGATTCATGGTACTTCAAGTTCAAGACTTGGATTGAGACAAGTCACAAGAATGCAGGAAAGTGCATTCAGCTCCTCGAAGAGCACCAAGACACAGAGATCAATGACATCTCTGGAAGATGATTATCCTGAAGGAGCCGAGCTTGTTTCAGCTGAGGCCCGACAGGCTCTGATCTCACTATGTGAGGGAGAAGCCCTCGAGATTGTCAAGAATACCTCCAGAGGTCAGCACTTTGGCCTGGAGGCATTGAGACGATTGATCACCAAGTATGATCCACAGAACCCACAAGCAAACTCAGCTTTGCTGAAGAAGGTCCTGCACCCACAAGCATTGGACAAGCTCAGAGAGAGCATAGAAGCCTGGGAAAACATCAGGCGAAAGTATGAAGAGCGGAAGAAGAAAGCTCTTGATGATGACATCGCAAGAAGTTGTCTTCAGCAGATGTGCCCAGCCAAGCTTCAAGATCACCTTGACCTCCAGAGCTCAAGACTCACTGACTATGCCATCATGAAGTCAGAGATTTTGGCCTACCTCGAGAACATCGAGAGCCGAAAAGAAGCAAAGACTGGATCAGCACCAATGGATGTTGATGCACTAGCCGCAGCTGCCAGCCAGATGCAAGCTTCACTTGCAAGTCTGGCTAAAGCCAAAGGAAAAGGCAAAGGTGGCTCAAAAGGCGGCAAAGGAAAAGGAAAGAGTCAAGATGGAGGCAAGGGAAACGACAAAGGTAAACAGAAGGGAAAAGGTTCCTCGTGGTCCAATCCCTCGTCATGGAACAACTCATGGAACAAGAACGATTGGTATAAGAATGATTGGAACAAGAATAGTTGGTACAACCAAAACTCCAAGGGTAAAGGCAAAGGTGGCAAAGGCAAAGACTCTAAAGGTAAAGGCAAGAGTAAAAGTAAGAAGGTAGCTTCAGTTGAGGAATCTGAAACCTCTATGGCTCAAGAGCATCAACCCGAGCCTGAGTATTCCGCTGACATCGCCACCCTCTCTGCCATCGAGATGGAGAAAGCAGCACCTGCCGCAATTTCTCGTGGAGCAGCCAAGGCAAAAGCTGAGACTGAAGTCAAGGCTATGCCAAAGAAGCCAGGAGCTGGAAAAGGTCGTCCTGGAATTGCAGCTGCTGGGATTGCAGTCATGAACCAAGCAATCCAAGAGACCATGCAGTCCAATCGCGAGCTGTATGAGAAGAAGTCTGAGACAATCCAGAAGGCCATCGAAGAGGCCGAAGCCAAAGGCAAAGCAGCCAATGACGCCATCTTGGAACAACAGGCCGAGATGAAGAGGCTGAAAGAACAGTATGAAGAAAAGGAGAGAGAAGCCAAGATCTTGCTGAAGAGACCAACTCCTCGCCGCGCCGCTTCGGTGCCGGCGGAGTCGCCAAGGCTCTCAGCTGATTTGGCATCAGGCATGGACCCAAGATTGGCCAAGAAGAAGGAGAAGAGCCGTCAGCGCGCCGAGCAACATCGCGTTGACAAGGCCCAGGATCGCTTTGAATCCTGGCGCGACTATGAGGCCAACTACCCTGAGGAGCTCGATTACTATGAGATCGCTCGTGCCAAGGGTACTGGTCGACTTCAAGCTTGGGATGATGAAGATGATGAAGGAAAATTTGATGAAGCCCCTCACCCTCGAGGTCGAGAAAAGGCCCAGAGGCATCGTGGCTACAAGAAGCCAGGAAAGGCAAAGAAGCCTGAGAAGCCAAAAGAGAAGGAGCCCAAGATCGAGGATCTCTCCACTCAAGAACTGGCAGAGATGAAACGGGAAAGCCAGACATGGACGGCTACTAGCCATCCAGCCCGCAGTGTCATCGACAAGGCGCTCACTGCAGCTGGGTTCAACCCAGAGGACTATGTTGTGATGAAGCGCGTCGAAAGCCAAGGCGAAGGAGCAACAAGCGCACCATCCTTCGCAGCTCCAGTCATGGAGAACATCAATCCCCTTGATGTGACTGAGATCGAGGGACTCGAAGAAGAAGAAGAGTTTGAAGGTGAAGTTGAAGAGGATGAGCATGGCACTGAGCCAGCTGACGATGAGTCAGATGGACAAGAGGAAGAAAAAGAGAAAGACATTGTGCCATGGCTCGATCACATGTTCCAAGAGCGCATCCTCAGCTATGATGAATGGGTAGCCAAATGCACCCACAAGAACAGAGATGGCAGCAAGCACATGGTTTGCCGTGCGTGCGACAAGGCCCTGAGGTGTGACAATGACACCGGCCTATGGAACCATCATATGGCTTTGAATTGCTGCCCGCCAAAAGTCCTCAACCAGTGGGCAAAGGAATGGACGATCAAGCAGAAAGAGATGGGAAAGCGCATCAAGACTGCCAAGGGACAGCAAGGCAGCCCAACTTCAAAAGATGCGCCAAAGCATGTGAAAGATGCCGACATGGATCTGAAGCCCGAAGATGTGGAAAAGCATTTGAAGATGGAAGATCCAAAGCTTGAGACTGTCAAGAAAGGAGGTCCTTTCTACATGACAGCCCATATGCAGAAGATGATGGAAGAACAGGAGGAGGAAGATGAGGTTGGCCCAAAGACTCCAAAGCAAAGGCGCATTGCCAAGACACCTCCACCTCCTGAGAAGAAGGGCAAGACCAAGGAGGAGCGTATGGCCTGGTTCAAGAGCTCGACTGAAGAGCACCTAGAGCGATTCCGTGGACCAGGATCCAAGCCAGAGGAATCTAGCGAAGCGCCAAGGCAGACGCTTTGGCTGAAGTCCCGGTCACGATCCCCGGGCAAAAGCCGAGCCGCTTCGGCTCCGGCTGCCTCTGAGAAGGGTCAAGGAAAGGGCAAGCAGAAGAAAGTGCAGTTGACTCGAGCCGTCAACGTGGCCACTCAGGATGCTGCCCGTGAGGCCAAGAAGGGAAAGGGGAAACGATATCCCACTCCCTCAAGCGAGCCTGATGAAGGCGATGAAGATCCACTCGCTCTCAGGAGTTTGGAGCTGGCATCCATGGAGACGCCAATGGCTCATCAGGTGACCTTGGATTCAGGAGCCGCGACCTCCTGCATCCCTGTTGAACTGGCCACCGCATTGGGCTACAAGCCTATCCAGCCTGAAGGCACCTGCAAAGTCTACAAGACTGCCTCAGGCGAAGTGGTCAAGGACCTTGGCAAGATCGATGCCATGGTGACCATCGGCATCGGCCAGAACTCCCTCAATGGACGTTGCTGTTTCGGGGTGATGGCGGTTGCAAAACCGCTGCTCTCCGCGGGGGCCCTTATGAGCAAGGGCTGGTCCATTCAGATGCACGGATCTGGTGGACATATCTCCCGAGACGGGACTAAGATCCCGATCTCGTTCAGCAACGGCGTCTGTTCTGTGCCGCTTGCATTCCACCCTTTCGTCCGGCACCGCAATGGGTAAGTCCGGTAGTGGACGAGCAGGCCGAAGAGGCCGAGCCAGGCGATGAAGTGCCGCCTGAGCTCAAAATCAATTCTCCCATTCGCCCGACGGGAAAAGCAAAGGCAAACCCCCACAGGAAGATAGACCACACCGATGAGACAACCCCAGTAGTAACTGTAGACTACTGTTTCATGAACTCGCGGACTGATGACGTAGTTTTGGACGAGAAGACTCATGCACCAATTCTTGTTGTCAGAGATCGATGGACGAAGCATCTTTTTGCTCATGTGTTGCCCTACAAAGGTGTGACAAAAGGTCCATATGGATCCAAAGTACTTTTGAATGACATCAAGAAACTAGGATACTCCAAACTGATCATTCGACATGATCCTGAACCTGCTCTCACATCCGTTGTTGAGGCAGTAAAGAATGGGTTTGAAGGAACCCTGATCATCGAGAAGAGCCCGAAAGGAGTCAAAGAATCCAAGGGAGAGATTGAACGAGCAGTTCAAACCTTGGAAGGACAAGCCAGGACTCTTCGAGCCGCAATCGAGTCGAACTATGGTGAGAAACTTCCTGACGATTCCCCTGTTTTGACTTGGTTAGTTGAACACGCATCCAGTCTACAATCTGTTTTTCGGATCTACCGAACTTCAAGACGGAAAGACTCCGTATTCACGACTTCGTGGACGTGAATGGAAAGTAGCAATTCCACCATTTGGTGAGGCCATCGAATACCTCAAGAGAGGCCACAAGTTCGAGGCCCAATGGACCAAAGGAATTTTTCTAGGAGTGAAAGACACCACCACAGAGAAGATAGTAGGAAATTCCACAGGCGTTTTCACAGTGCAATCCATTCGGAGAAAGCCAGAAGAAGATCGATATGATTCAGAGTTGCTGAAATCGATCACTGGAATTCCCTGGGATCCTCAAGCAATTCGCGAAGAACCAGCGATTGCAGCCCCAAGGGAACCAATCATTGCCAGCCCAAGTGGTGAAGCTTTGGTGCAACCACCGGCAATGGATGACAAGAAAAGAAAGCTGAGAAGGCTTTACATCACCAAGAAAGACCTGGAAAAGTTTGGTTACACCGCAGGTTGCCCAGCCTGTGATGCCACACAGATTGGCAAAAGATCTACAGGCATTCATCACACCAACAGGTGTCGAGACAGACTTGAAGAGAGCATCAGAGGAGAAGAAGAAGAGAACCCAAGAGTAGCAAGACATGAAAGCCGAGTTGGAGAGGCAATCACTGGCATGCCACAACCAGTCAGTGGCAAGAGACCTCAAATCCTTCATGGATATGAAAGCAAAAGACCATCGGGAGTTCCCGATTCGTGTCGAGTGTTCGCACGACTTGACGTCGAAGCTTACTGTTTTCAAACCACCATGCCAGGAGGACCTGATTGGTCTACCGTCTGGCACCGAGTCACAAGAAACCATGCAAACAACGCAATCATTGAGAGTGGAGTCATGACAACAGACCTTCCACCAGAGATACTCAATGGAGCATTACCACACAAGATGGACATTGTGACAGAACTTTGGTACGAACCAGAAGCAGCACCACCAACACCAGGCACAGCATCAGCTTCAGCATCAGGTATTCGCAGACCACGCGAACCTGAACCACATGGAGAAAAGAGAGAACACGAAGAACAACATGAACCAGCAGGATCACCCACAGCAAAAGCCAGAGTAGATAGAGACAAGAAGTGAAAGGCAGAAGGCGAACATGAAGATGAAGCCGAGAGAACAAGAGACATCCAAAGCATTGAGATGGCTCTAGAAAGCCTAATCCTAGACGACAGAGAGAGAGTGCTATCTAGCATCGACCCAGAGAAACCAGTGTGTGAAGAGAAGATCCCACTGCCAGAAGAAATGGCAGAAGAGGTAAAAGACTGGTGGTACTATGATGACATCAGTGGAAAAGAGCTTCTACCTGAGAAGGTAGAGAAAGCCAGAAAAGATGAGATCGACATTGTCGAATCAATGGGAGTTTGGGAAAAGATCCCAAGAAGCAAAGTTCCAAAAGGAACCAAAATCATTGGAACTCGATGGGTAGATGTGAACAAGCAAGATGAAACCAATCCTCTCTACAGAAGTCGATTGGTAGCGCAAGAGATCAAAAGAGGCTCAGGTTTTGACGAATTTTTCGCAGCTATGCCGAGCCTAGCAGCTTTGAAGCTACTGCTAACCATCGCAGTCAGCGACAGCCTTCCATTGGAGAAAGGCGAAAGAAGAAAATCAAAACAATCATTTCTAGGATTTTTAGATGTGAAGAGAGCTCATTTCTACTCTAAAGCAACAAGAGAACTCTATGTTGAAATCCCATCAGAAGGCAAGAGACCTGAAGATGGAGATGTGGTAGGAAAATTGGTCAGAAGCCTATACGGCACCAGAGACGCACCCATGAATTGGGAGCTGACCATTGCAGAGTTTATGAAGAAGCTAGGATTTGTTCAAGGCAAGTCCAATCCATGCATCTACTACCACGCATCCAGAGAACTTCGAACAGAAGTGCATGGAGACGATTTCACGACAGTTGGAAGTTTTGATGACATCAAATGGTTTCACACTTCAGCAGCCAAAGAATGGCAAGTTGTGGAACGAGGCATTCTCGGTCCACCAGGTTCACCAAAAGCAAGTCAACAGATCAGAGTGCTGAATCGCATCATCACCTGGTCAAATGAAGGCATTTGGTGGGAACCAGATCCAAGACATGCAGAGTTGATCATTAAGTGGTTAGGCACTGGTCAACCAGGCAAGGTCAAAACACCTTTGGCCAAGCCAAGTCAAGAGGAACTCCAACACGAAGAAGTTCCGCTGAGTGCCGAAGATGCAACGATGTATAGATCTATTGCTATGAGAGCCGCGTATTTGGCACAGGATCGACCTGATCTGCAAACTGCAACGCGCTCATTGGCACAAGGTCTACAGAACCCAACATCGAGGCACTGGAATATGCTGAAACGATTGGCTCGATATGTCAGGTATCGACCAAGAGTTGCACAGTTGTTTCCAAACCAAAGCACCTGCAACCCCTTCAATATGTGGTCAGACGCCGACCATGCAGGTTGCATAAGGACACGAAAGAGTGTGTCAGGAGGCGTGCTCATGGCCAACAAATGCTTTCTCACAACATACAGCAAAGGCCAAGGAGTTGTCTCCCTGAGCAGTGGCGAATCCGAGTACTACGGACTTGTTTCCGGAGCATGTCAAATGCTTGGAATCGCATCAACAGCAAGAGACTGGGGATTGTTTCCCAGCAAAGAGGTGACAATGGACGCTTCCGCTGGCATCGCCATGGGAAACCGTCGAGGCTTGGGACGAGCTAAACATGTTGACACTCAGTACCACTGGGTACAAGAGCGTACAGCAAAGAAAGAGTTTCGTCTCAAGAAGGAAGGCACCGACAGAATGTTGGCCGATGTGCTAACGAAAGCTGTCACCGAGGAGAAAATGACAACAGCCATGAAAGGTATGAACTTCCACCACTTGGAAGGTGAGCATGAACTGACTTTGAAAGCGTGAACGGCTTGAGCTAGAGTAGGTACATCTTGGTCTTGAAGAGGTACTGAAGGGCTACGAGCTAATTCACCGAAGTGCTAATCCTGACTCGCTTAACTTCTGGGAGATGTTAAACTCGGGAGGCGTGATCAGATGTAGCACCAGTTACATGTACATGATATAGCTTGTATAGATGTATGTTTCACTGAAGCCGTTTGTTCAAGTTTGGGTTTACTTTTGTGTTCATTTCGATACCAGAGCTCACGCTTGGAGTGGAGCTAAAAGTGGGCCTAAGCTTCTACTACAACCTTTGGGACAGTGACTTGGGGTCACAGAGTTTAAGAGCCTAAATTCTCCGTTCATTCCATGTGGTTATATACCGCTTTGTATGAGCCCGTGTGACGAATCTGACGCAGAACCTCCAAATGTGTGCAGGAAATGAAGCAACTGTTCAGAGTTCTGGACGACGATGGTGAGGGCGAGTTGAGTGTGGCAGCGGCTTGGCCCTAAAGTCAATGAATAGGATGTGGATTCTCTGCGTTGCATGGATGCCGTGATAGGCTCGAACATGAAAATGCAGATTTTGCATGCAACATCCTTTTTCTGTTGAGCTCGAAGTGCTGCCTTTTCACGAAAGGTAGCCCTTTAGGGGATACCTTGAGTTTGTCTTGCGAAGCAAGTGTTGGGACGTCCGGGTCTAATAATTGATCGCTCAATTCAGACCCCCCCCCCCCC